TGTCTTACAGCTACAAGCTGTAATTCTTCTTACCATTTTTAGAATCCCTTTAAAATGTCTAAGTGATAAGCTGATAAACTTCAGGGTCTAAAATATGACATGGAAACTGGGGAGAATGGCTGTGTGTAGTGAAAGGTTTTAGTACAGTGATCACTGAGATAAACATGATTGTTCCTGTAGTGCTATGAATGGCACTGTGGCCCTAAACAGAAGAAGCAGTGAAGATTCATGAAGGAAGTGTGGGGAACAAGACTTGACTGCCATTATATTCCAAACTTCAGTCTTTTCTAGAATGCTAATTCTTCAAGGACGTACCTTTCTACTGCCCGTTATTCAGACAGGTTCAGTTACATAAAGTGACCTTGTCAAAATAGTTTGAAAAACTGCACTAGAAAGTCCTTTAATATTTCTTGAGTAGAACAGACAATTTGGGGTACATTTTTAAGAGATATAAAAATCTGTCACTTAAAAGAATTATGCTGTTTTTCCAACTAAATTCTTCTCTGAAGGGCACATGAAGCCAGCAACTGACAATGCAAGATATGTTTATTGTCTGGCAGAGCTAATGGTGCTAAAAGTTTCTGTACCTCTCTAGTAGCATATTATTCCGTCCAGAAGCCAAACACAGGCAATAAAATTATCTAGTTCAAAAACTGAATACCCAACCAAATTAACAAGCAAGATGTAGCTATCATAAATGTGCTAAATAGGTGGGTATAATTCAAAAAACAAGCTTGCAATTACAAAGATGCAAAATATTCTCTGAGTCACTAAGTCCATTTCTGACTAATATAGGTTACATTTCCATTGATTACATTTTCTTGAATACACTATTAAAATGAAAATGACCTGTGGGTGGAAACATTATTTTTCTCTTAATGTGTTTTAATTAAGTCCATGCTTTTGTGGTCTTTGCCTTCTCAGCATTAATGAATACTGATAGACTGTGTGTTAGTTTATGTTGTTTCTTGGAATGACTGGTTTTCTTTTTAAAAAAAAAAAAAAATTTTTTTTCTTTATTGATTCCAGACAGAGAGGAAGAGAGAGGGAGAGAGAGACAGAAACATTGATGAGAGAGAACATCGATTGCCCACCTCCTGCATGCCTCCCACTGGAGATTTGGCCCACAACCTGGGTATGTGTCCTGACCAGGAATCGAATCGTCAACCTCTTGGTGCATGGGTTGACACTCAACCTCTGAGCCACAGTGGTCAGGTGGAATGACCGGTTTTCTTCACTAGTTCATCATCAACTAGGTGAGAAGTACAGATGGTATATGCTGATAAATTCTGAAAACTTTTGCTATTATCTGAGTTGCAAAGTATGTGGAATCTATTTTTGAAGTAGGAGATATGGCCTCCAGGATGGTTAATGATTTATTGGTCTAGGACCATGGCAAATTTTCATTCTCAGAGTTTCTTTGAGAGCTGTCTCTAAGTTGTTAGGGGACACATGTGAATTTAAGTATTGCCAATTTCTTACTTGCAATATTGAGAGTATTTTTTGTTTTTAATACTGACAATCCCATATTCTCTCGAGTCTATTTCATGGAATGAGTACTTTATAGATGAAAGGAAAATTGAGCTGCCAACATAATATTCAGTTCTACAAAGTGACTAGCAGGTTGAGGTCTATCGGGTTAAAAACAGAAAGGTATATTTTTTAAAATAGGATGAAGGGCATTCAGAAAAGATGATGGTGGGAAAGAGATCTCTATTTTTCTCTTAAAATCATAACTATTTACATTGCACAGAGTGATAGAGTAGTTCACTACTTGCTTTCTTCTGTGAACTATGTTGGCTTATTTTTTTCACATTATTTTTCTAAAATTTTCATTATCTTCCATAAGATCTTGGAAATTCATAAACCCAATATATTTATGAATATTTTAGGAATATACAGATTGTAAAGCAGTTATAATTTAAAAATTAGGTAGAGATTATTGAATATATCCATAGAACAGGAATTGATAACGGAATAAATACTCATAATGATCCTTAAATACAGGAGCTAGGGGTTGGATGGGCCCTCCAGATGAGTAATTGCCATGGAAAAACACCCAGAAAGGTTGAAGAAGTTTTAAAACCTGGCTTTCTTGCTTCCAGTTTCTTTCTAGAATCTATATTTACTCAATAAAATTTATTACTGTTTAATAAAATATGTTCTAGGTCCCCACTACAGTTAAACTCTAGTTCTAATGATTTGGAAAGACAGACACAGATGACACATACATGCTAAGGTATAAGGTTCCCCCAAAATTCATATACTATGGAACTACATATTTCAGTGGTTGAAATACATAATTATTTTTAAAAGTGAAATAAACTTCACGCACTATACAAAAATTACAAACTTTCTAATGTGGCTATTTCAAAATACTTCAGAATATCCACGTTAGAATTGCAACTTATGTGTGGATAGTTAGTGTATCTTCACACATTTTTATTTTCTTGATATTAATAGTTTTCTCATTGGTTTAATTTTAAATAATTAGGGTTTGACAGGGAGATTGTTGAGGCACACACTCAGGATGCTAATTACAATGTAGTTTTCCAGTTGGAAAGGATTTAGACATGCTCATTAGATGGGACACATTCTTTTAAACATTTTTGGATTCAGATTCCTCACTGTTGGCATTTGAGAGAGGCTGCCACAGCATTTTCTTAGTGTGCTAAGACAATGATAAGTATATATGCCTAAGCAAAATATAATATTTTTTTGAAATAGATTCTTACCATGCCAAGAACCCTGCTGACAGGTTGTCTCATGGCTAGTATTTTTACATCCCAAGTTTTAGATTAAAAAAAAAATTTTTATATATTCTCAAATATAGAAACAAGAGAAGTCTGTAAATTTCTTTTGCAACATACGTTCATTATAATCCTTGTTTGCTTCTGACAGAATTCACTCAATTTAATCAATGATGGAGGACTTTAGAATTAAGATGTATAAAGTATAGAAAAGTGTACTCAAGCATTTCAGAGAATGTTAAGACCATGTAGTTTATCGTTACTTCCAACGACCCCACTTGTCCTCCGAGAAAACAAACAATGTGTCTTGTTCTAACCTATCTTACTTATAACAAGAATATATTTTCTTGCTTTTGGTCATACACACTAAATGAAGAAGCACATGTTTAACTTTTAGGAGCACAGTCCTCAAAATAACTAAGGTACATATACATTGTGGCATTTACATTCAGTGGCAAACATGATTTTTTAAAATATTGTTTTAAACTTTTATAAACAAGGGAAATTTGGTCTTTTATTAGCAAAAATTGCTGAACATACATTATTTTCTTTAAGTTATTTTTAAAAAACACAAGTATATAGACCATAGTTTAATAAAATTGAGAAATTTTTAGCTTTAAATGGCAGTTCTTGCTTTTAGTTTGAGATGGTTCAAGGACAGAAAAGATTACCACCTGGTTCAAGAACTGGCTTATTTTTTCCTCTTAAATTTCAGTCCATCGTTTTTTTAACGTTTAAAACTTCCTCTGTTAGTAACTTAGTACACTGAGTTTCCATTTAGTGAATCTAACCAATAATCACGCATATCTAAAAAGCATTCTAGGGCTTTTTACAAATACAACATTAGTGATAAAAAAAAAAAATAGCAATACTGAAAAAGGAACAGACTTTGGTTCCTTTTAATCAAGGACCCTGTCACATATTTGCACTTAATTACACTGCAGAAAATGAGTTAGTACCCCCTTATAGTTAAAATAATTCCATAGGGTTGCTGATAACTTTTACGTAAAAATTTTATTCAAAATTATTCACATCTAGTGAATGGCTTACATATTGAAATTGACTCAGAAATATAAAAAATGTCAATCTTCCCTTTATAGAAATTATTAACTTTTATAATTTAGAATTAAAATCTTCTCTCCTTACATTTGGAGTTAGGAGTTTGAAGATCATATAACTTTGATAGAAAAACTTTGATTATTAAAAAATATTTCATAAATTCAATTTTGTATCCATTATATTCATTTTTATCAAAATGTAAATACTATAATCCCATTGAATTTTAAAGTCTCATTCTAAGTTCAAATATAAAAATCTTACTGAACTTTGTTCAATTATATCAAAACATTAACATAATTATGTACAGACAATTAAGCAACTATTAAAAATCTAACAAAAAAGGGTACTGGCTTGAATTTTTCACTGTTTGTCAATAATTAAAAATACACAGATATGTAGCTAAAACACTTATTTAAACACAATCATGCTGTTTTCAGTATTTTCACCTTCATTCATAGATATATAAAGTCAAGAAAAGTAGATATTTTACAGAATATGATCTCTTAAACCATTTGTTTTAAATTTCCAAAGAGGGAAATTTAATAGTCTAAACAATTAAATATCTAAATAATAAAGGTTTTTTTATTTTAATCTTTTAATTTGAATTTTTTTGTTATTATATGTTGGTCTGATTGTATTTGTATATACAATTTTCTATTACTATTAAACAAGTTTTCCACTGAATTAACTGATTACTTTTCTATTTGTAACTATAGTATGAGAAAATATTTTAAAGCCTCAAGCTACTATTTTTTATTTTCAACATTTCCCTTTTGTTTTTATAAAGTTTATTGTGTAAATTTTACTCTTGTAAGATTTATTATTATTGAATTAAAAATGAAAGGATCCAAAGTAGTTTTCACATGTACTATTATGTGATATTATATAACATACAAACACTTTGGCAGTGCTACTTCCACTTATGTGATTTACTATGAAAGAGCAGATAAAATAATATGAAATAAAACGTTTACAATATATAAATACGTATATAGTACCTATTAAAAGAATCTTAATTTGCTTCATGACTTTGTATAACAAATTATAATAATGCTTTCCCCTATGCATTTTAATACAATAGTCATTATTTGTACACCACACACACACACACACACACACACACACACACACCTATGGCAAAGACACTTCCTTTTGAACTGACTGCAATTGCATGGCCCCAGAGACTTAATCTTATTGCTGATGAATATCCTCATGCCTAAGAATTTTATAGATAACCCAGTAGAAAATATTAAAAATCAAAAAGGCTAATGGGAAGCAGGCTCGGGAGATGGTGTCAATCTTCTTGGCCCGGTTGATAAAGACCTTCCTCATTTCATCAGGGCCTTTCGGCATTACCTGCACAGGATGGTTTGGGCCCCTGGGGATCACATCGTCTTTTGCTTGCAGACATGGTCCCATTCCATAGGCTGTGAAGCTGAATTGACTTTCTCTTACCTCATCATCCTGTCATAAGAAAAACATAAGAAAACACTTTAGTCATGAAATAGAGCATATATAACAGGTTTTTCAGAATCATAACTTAGCTTTATCGTGATAAATGTTAACATTATTATAATGAAAAGATAACCCTATAAAGATTAACCTCATTTCTTCCCCACTCAAGTTGTATTGATTGAATGGATGTGTATCACATAGGTGTGTCCATTAAGAAATATGAAACTCTCAAATGATATGTTTAAATAGAAAACCTAACCATTCTGACTGGTGTTACCTACATATTGCTAGAATATCTAAATCAATTGAGCAAGAAAAAAGAATCTATTGGGATATTATATTATATAGGTCCATGACTAAATTTTTTGCATTAAGTGTAAAAATTGATAAATATATAATGTCAAAGGAGAAAATACCAGGATAATTAACTAAATTTTTATTTTTTCTGGAGGCAAATTTTTTAATGATTATTTCCTATAAGTTGATGTTACTTTATTGGAAAATACAGTTCAGCTCAACAATATTACTTGATTTTTTTTATCCTCACTTAATGCTACTTCTATGTTTTATACTAACCCATTTGGGAGACTATAAGATAGTCACATATTCTGATTTATATACAGTTACTTTTCAAGTGCATTACTTTAGTTTAAATTATGAATAAAATTTGGTAAAAGTATATTTCATGTTAAAGAAAATTATAAATTATTTTGTCCTAAAAAATATTGCTACTTTTTTCTTCAATGTTGCAAATTGAAGAGAATTCTCTATATATGTCCATGCAAAGAAAAGCAAATTTTTAAGAAAAATATTATTAATAAAATTATGATTTATAAAAAGTGTTCATGATAGGAAAATATGGTTGTTACTAATTTATAATAAAATTAATTAATGAATAATTAAATTTGACAAATTTATTTGGAATGTAACAGTATATGGCTGCTAATTAATTAAATTTTTTCTGCTACTAAAATTGAATGTTTAAAAGATGACATTTTACAAATTTGTTATAGCTAGCCTCTTATGGAAATAATTTTTTATGGTGAAATATGGTATAAAAATAAGTACTCAAACTCTTGAAAAATTATATTGGGTTTGTGCAAATAGATGGTCAATGAACAATATATTACAAAATGTATAAATAAAAAATTAAAATTAAAATGGATTCTAAAAATGGAAAGTATCTCAACTGTAAGATGTGTAATTGAATTTTGAGAAAACAAGTATGACATAAAAACTGATGATCCAAATCACATGTAATTGCTGCTGTAATCTTGCAGAAAACTGAAAATTGATTTCTAGTAGTCTTCAATAAGAATATTCATTTATGCTGGCCATTTTTTTAGCTTCTATGGAAATTTCAAGGCTAACTTATTATTTGCTTCGAATTCTCTATACTTTTTAAAAAAGTAAATATACTAGGAATTAAACTGTTCTTATGTAAGTGCTGAAATAGTATCCTTATAATTTATTAAATTATGCTGGTGTTGCATTCCAGAAGAAAAACTTAGGTCACTTGTGTTCAAACCAGCTGAATGCTGAAATAGCCTTTTAAACAACATCGACCCATGTATTTTTTTAAAAATCTATCTCAACATAAGATAAAATATAACTTCTCAATGAACATTTACAATGAGGCATTGACATATTAGTGAAACCAGTTGAGAGACTGATTACAAAAATGCTAAGATTTTAGGATTCTAGCTGCTCTGTTTAGTAAAGTAGTATCTGCTATCTATTTTTCTAGTTCTATTAAGAAATAATTGATATACATCAATGTATAAGTTTAAGATGTACAGTCTGATGGTTTAACATATATATATATATATATATATATATATATATATATATATATAGTGAAATGATTACCCAAATAGGTTTACTTAACATACATTACCGCTGATAGATAAAATTAAAAGAAAAAATTTCTTCTTGTGATGAAAACTCTTAGGATCTACTCTCTAACCACTTTCTTATATATCACACACCAGTGTTAGCTGTAGTCACCATGTTGTACATTACATGCCTAGTGCTTATTTATGTTTTTTTTATCTTATAATTGGAAGTTTGTATCTCTTAACCACCTTCCTTCACTGACAACCTTTCTAGCTATCTGTTCTGGAGAACTTAATATTTTCATACCGTTAGAGATCCCCATACCTCAAAACAGACACAATTGTTTAAGATTTACTATATTTAGTAAACAACTGTATTTTTCTCAACTGTATCTTTCCACATAACTGACTGTGAATAAAGAGTTAACACCAGGCCTGGGTTGTTTCAGGACTGCTGAGAGTGATTTCTGATTCTTCCAGCATCACTTCCTTGAAAACAACAGAGTTAAGCTCCGTGGGGAATGTAGTCTTTGCTTCCTAGGCAGTGAAGGAGGCACCTGCGCTGGGGAGGCCATGCAGAGGCCTACGTGACCAGACGGTATGCAAGCTTGGTGGGAAATCAAGGCGGTGGCTTCTCTGTGTCAAGGTGACCACATACACATGCCTTGACTGTTGTCTGTGGCAGCTGAATCTACAGGTCCCTGTGGGTGAGGGGCAAAAGGAACTGTGCTCTTGAATAATTGCTGGCCTCCAGATTTGAGGCAGATGCTGGGTCTGTGAGGCCTGCCTCATCGGCTCCTGTGGGACTGAATGAATGTTATGTATTCATTACAGACTACTGTGCCTGAATGGTCTGCTTGACAATTTGAACCCCAAATTTCAGCAGTGGTGGCAGCTTCTCAGATTGTTTTAGACTCCAAAGGTTGAGAGGGAATTCTGATCAGAATGTGATACTGATCCACCCTGGGTTTGAGGTAGCAACACTCTGTGGAAAATAACTGGGGATTAATCTTACTATCAGCAAGTGGGTGAGGTCATTTTATCCCTTCGTTGAGTTGGCAGAAGGATGATCAGTAAAATAAAACTGAAAGGAATCAGGGTGACAAAACTGAGGGGAGAGTGGCTCAAGATACAATTAATTCCTTGTCTCCTATTAATTGATTGTGAAACTGAAACTACTCGGTGGGGGGTGGGGTGGGGCAAGAAACAAGAGCAAGGAAAGCAAGCGGCTTCTCCAGCCTGCGCTCAAGACTGAAAAAACCGGTGCACTTGGGACTTTAAAGGACATTGCACTTAACCTTGATGTCACTTCTCTATAACCCCACGCAAATCAAGTGGCCCTGGAAAGTAGTAAATATTGCGCAGCCCTATCCAATATAATTGAAGCCACAGCTAGAAGCCATGTGTGTGATTTTAAAATTTAAATTTATATTAGTTACAGTTTAACAACTTAAAAAAACAGTTACGATTACTTTTAGTAAGCCATGTTCTTTAACTCAATATGTCCTAAATATTTTTTTAAATATTTGCTAAAGGTAAAAATTAAAGATAAATTTCACATTATTTCATACTAAGTCCTAGATGTCAGCGTATACTTTCACGTGCCTCAATTCAGACTCCACATCTCCAGCGTTCAATAGCCATATGTGGCTTGTAGGTACCATTTTGAAGAAGGCAAATACAGGAGCCTTCTTCAAAGAAGAAGAGCAAGGTTTCCATGCTTCCCAGGATCTTTAGGTTAATTGACCTAGGAGCTGCAGCATGAAAAGCAACGTTTGGTGTGAATGCTAACTCCCAACTGGATGCATTGTTGCCATTCAGGAAGTATTGACAGGCATATATAATCAATGATCCTTTTTGGAGTGGGTGAAGACCTGGGTGGTATGAATCTATACTAAGAAAGGTAGCTGCCTGGTACTCTCTCTGCTGTGAAATAGAACAGCCGTTTGGGGGACTAGCAAACCCTGGCTGGCCATGAGATAATGAAAAAAAAGAGCCTACCCAAACCATATCCTCTGACCCACACTCTGGTATGCACTGTGATTAGGAGAGTCCCTCAGGCAACGGTTCCCCATGTGGCTCTACTTTTGGGAAAGCAGAAGGGTATATATAATTCATGGGTACATTTGCTTTTGCTGCTGCCATGCTAGGTTTTACTGATGGAAGAAAAAAAATACCTGGGCTATTTAGAAGAAAGGTCATGGCCAGAGGTGAATCTATTAGCTCTCTTTAGGTGGCTTTAAAGACACAGAAGAAAACTGACAGGATTTCTAAGAGAGATTTCCTGGCATATTGTTGCCCCCTGAGAGGAAGGAAATCTGTTCTAGTTCCTGCAGCTGCTTCCCTTAAAGACCCCTGTTCAGTCTGCTGCTTTCACCTCAGAAGTTACATCCAGTGATGCCAGTGGGGAATGGAGACAAAAGGCATTTATATGGGTTGCTGAATTTACTCCATCCGTTAAGGCAGTTGAAACAAAGAACATGCCTTGAAAGCCGGGATCTCCTTGCCTAATTCAGAATAGGGTTCCAAGGCTATGCTTTGGTTAAGGGTGAATGTCCGGGAGTGCTGAACATGGGTTTTGGGGATTACTGGATGCCAGTGCACGATGTACAGTAATACTGCTGGAGAGTGCGAAAACAATGTTAAAAGCAAAAGAAAAGCTGGTGGGACAGAGAAGGAGGCATAGTGATGCTGTGGTAGTACGTATCATGGCCATACTAAAGAGTGAAGATAGAAAAATAAGGGACAAAGACATATCGAGTAGGCGGCATTGTGTTTGGCTAAATATATCATGAAAAGGAATGTAACATGTGAAGGAATAATCTTGCCACCTCTGGCTTGAGCCTGATCTTGGGCAGTTGTTCCTTATTCCGGATGTAATTGGATGTATTCAAATGAGAGCCCTTAGAATTTCCTAAACCTTCCTCTGTAGTAACTAGTAAACAGTACAAAATTTCAGGCAAATAAAGGAAGCTCTCAGCTTTGACTAAAGGAATGGTGGCAGCGGGGTGCTAATCCTTCATTAATTTTCTCTACAACATTTCCATCTGGCCTACATAAAACTATATGGGTTCTGAGGCTGACTCCTTGGGTTCCCTAAAGATGGATGTATCTCCTTCAGCCTCCACCATGATGGGCATGGTGAACACCATTTGAGAGTTCCAGAAAGAGGAG